AGGAGGTGTGGCCTTGTGGTAGGAGGTGTGGCCTTGTGGTAGGAGGTGTGGCCTCGTGGTAGGAGGTGTGGTCTCGTGGGAAGAGGTGTGTCACTGGGGGTGGACTTGGAGGTTTCAAAAAGTCCATTAGGAGCCCAGGGCTTCTCTCATCCTGCTGTCTGCAGATCTGGAAGTAGATCTCACAGCTGCCTCTACAGATCCATATCTGTCTGCATGCCACCGAGCTTCCTGCCTCTGAAACTGTAGGCCAGCCCCAATTAAATGTTTCCTTTTATAAGGTGTCTCGGTTATGGAGTCTCCCAGAAGCAATAGAGCTCTATGACACTTTGCTTGGTTTATCGCCCTTTGTCCAGCAGACTACTGCTCCCTTTCAAACATGGCATGCCTCTGAAATGCTTTAATACATATTCACACATATTCAAGGGAAAATCTTCCACAAGTGACTTTGTATTTATGTATTTGCATTTGTTTGTTCGTTCAGTACTTACTATATAACTCAAGGCACTTTTCAAATACATTGGTGAGTCAAAAAACTTCAGGTTGCAGAAAAGTGGGAACTTCGTTTTCTGTAGGTTTCAGATACTGATGGCACTGGTAGCTTTGTGTTGGTGGAAGGCAGTGGTTTGTTAATACATTCCAAAAGGTTTTTACTTGAATCATAAGGATTGTGACATGAGATCAGACACAAGAGATGGGCAATGAATGGGTACTAATGGAACAAAATATAGCCCTGGATAACTTGGCTCTGAATCTGCAATATTCCACAACTATGACTCCTCAGTTATGATTCCACAACTATTATCCTTCTGGAAATTTTTCTTAAAAATTATACCTATGTGCGTCTGTGCGCATGTGTACAGGTGCTTGCGGAGGCTAGAGGTATTAGAAGATCCCATGGGGCTGAAGATACAGACGCTTGTGAACAGCCAGATGTGGATTCTAGGAATTGACTCAGGTATTGAGTTCTTACATGGTGGGCTATCTCTCCAGATCCTCTTCAGCAATCTTTAAAGTAGATGTCTTTTTTTTCCTTCCTTACTTCCTTCTCTTCCCCTTCCTTCCTTACTTCCTTTCTTTCGTTCTTTCTTTCCTTCCTTCCTTCTTTCTTTTTTTTTTTTTCATGCAAGCTTCACATATGTCCCTTAAGAGTTTGGCCTGAAGGGGGGTGTGGTGGACCCTGGCTGCCTTTTTTAAAAAAAAACTTCATGACAACTGTGCTTTCTTAAGCTCACTGGGGCCATTTTGTTTGGAAAATCAGACTTGAAGGAGTACTAGACACAGAGGCGCCACCACACAGTAAAGTCAGAAGGCGAATTTTATTGCAGCAGATACAAAGTTCTCATTCCACATAGGCAGGCCAAGGAGACATCCTCCTATCCTAGGCACCTGCAAGTTCAAGTTCTCCGCCAGGGAGCTAGGACTGGCAAGAGGATGGTTGGCCGAAGCCCCGACTAGAAGCCTGAGGAAGCGCCGAGTACTCTGCTAAGCTGAGAAGGACTCAGCCCGCTAGCCTTCCAACTTGTCTGGGCCATTGCATCCTTCCAACACCCGCGAAAGACACGCCTCCCTCTCCTGCCCTCCCGCCGAGCCAAATCCGGGTGTGTCCATCTGGCGCGTTGCCCACCCTCTTAGAGCGCAGAGGGAACCGCCCCTACAGGTTAGCGGGCGGAGCCTGCCTGGCGTGATGGCCTCGCCAGCGGCTCATTCCTGGTGTAACGACTGGCGCGTAGCAGCACAGCAACGCTGGAGCGGGGGCGGGGCCGACCGCGCGATAACACCACGCACAGTCCATCCGCTGCCCGAGGTTCTTTTCCCAGGGCGCGGACGAGTGGGCGGGATCGGGATAGAGATTGACATCTCTCCCCGCCCAGATTCTTTCAGGGTAGGCTGTCTCTGGGTCTCTGGGTAGTTGATCCCGGTAAGGAAGAACAGGGCGCACGGTGATTGCGTCACCAAAACACTACGCTCTGCCCGAACGAGACTCTCTGCCCGAGACGCCTCGGGTGGAGGAGGGCCTTGCGCACCGTGATGACGTTGAGTCCCGCCCGTTTGAGGAGTAGAGCGGTGGCGCCTCCTGTCCCCCTCAGTGGGGCGCTGGCGCGCGGGGTGGAGTGACCTGCGGTCTGTGGGAGAGCCGCGCCCGCCTCAGCAGGGAGGAGTGCTCAGCGCGGCTGGCGATGAGCAGCGCGGGGGGCGAGGGGCCGGAGGCCGGTACTGGCCGCGCTGGGGGCCGCTCTGAGCCCGAGGCCCCGGGCAGCGCTCTGAGTGTGGACTTGCCCGGGCTGCTGGGGCAGCTGGCGCGCAGCTTCGCGCTGCTGCTGCCGGTGTACGCCCTCGGCTACCTGGGGCTGAGCTTCAGTTGGGTGCTGCTGGCGCTTGGGCTGCTCGCTTGGTGCCGCCGGAGCCGCGGCCTCAAGGCCAGCCGCCTGTGCCGCGCGCTGGCACTATTGGAGGATGAGGAGCAAGCTGTGCGCCTGGGAGTGCGCGCCTGCGACCTGCCCGCCTGGGTGAGTGTTGTCCCCAGACCTGAGCGGAGTCAGGTCCGCACCACTCTTCTCCCCTTCTTAATGACGAGTGGGGGACTCAAGCCCTAGCCCAAGTGAGTTGTCAGCCAAAGCTTGCTCCGAATCGCGGTCCGATCCGGGGTCCAGATTATGCGGACAATCTGGACCCCGGACCAAGTCAGGTGTGTGACCTTACTGCTGTCTGCCTCTCCAGCTGTCTTTACCTAAACGGTGTCTTCTGTCAGCACTCTGCCCACTTGCTTTCCTCGGTGCTTCTGGCCACCGTGGCCCAACCCGGCTCTGAGCGAGGGCCTGCATCTGGGTCTCACTTGTGTCAGCGCACCCACCTCCCCCACCTAAGTCAGGTGGCCTCATTGCTGTCCCCACCCTCATCCAGGGCGAGGTATCCTGGTCATTATCTGCTCCAACAGAGTGTCCGCTCTCAGTCCTCTTCCTGGCTTTCAGTCCTTGCCCATCGCTAGCAAAGTGCGCAGGTAGTGAATACTTCCTAACTTGGCAGTATTGGTCATTGTTAGTTGCTGGGCCTTTTCCTCCTTTCACGCTGGCAGTGACTATCGTCCTGAAGCAGACTTGGTGGGCAGATGAGCTGAGATCTCTGTTGTCCTGAATGATTCTGTAAACCTTTTGCCAGCATGGCGCAGCAGGCCTGGAAACGTCCAGATTCTCTTTTCTGATTTAAAAAGTAGTGACAGTCAGTGTGGGGAGAAGTTAATACAAAAATCAAGAAGACGCATTCATTTCTTAGTTGAGTAACATGATTGAAGTGTTCCTGGAGAGCTTATGTTAGAAGAATTGAGATGATTGTTTCATTGTTTAAAATACCAGATGGAAGACTAGGCGCTTTCATATGATCATTTAAAAGATCCAGGGTGAACATGTATAGAGGGAGATTTTGAAAGAGTGAACAGTAATGATTAAGTCACGGTATTGATTATTTTTTTCCTAAAATTGCTTTTTACTTATTGAGTATTTGAATCTATTGGAGAAGGCTTTATCATCCTTTTCACTGTCTTTCTTAGCAAGGAGCTAGTGTCAGTTTCAGATAGAAGAAAATAGTGCATATTTTAAGATAAATGTTGCATAGTATTAGGCTTGATGTAAATGCCTGTGGAAGTAGATAGCGGTAAGTTTTAGAAGGGAGAAAGGAGGAATTTAAGTGGAGGAAGAACTTGGAGAATGTTCCTCCTTTCCAGCTAGGAAACTCCTGTGAGATATGGCATAGAGTATGTGGTACAAATATCAGAAAACAACAATTAAAAAGTAAGAGTTCCCCAAATCCAGAGGAACATTATAGGCAGCATTTGGTGATGTTAGGACGGTGATGTTAGCAGCTGAAGTTAGGATGGTAATTTGAAACTTAAAATCAGCAGATTGATGGCGATGCGTAGGACAGGAGTGTTTTGGAAAATGAAAGCAACTGATATGATACACCATTTAGCTAGCAGTAAAGGAATGTATAAAAAACAGGAAGTTAGAGTAGCCAAGGTGAGAAAAAACAAGAAGCAGTGGTGCACTGTAGAATGCTGTAGTGGTATCTTGTGTCTCTGCTACACTAAATTAAATGCTATCAGAAAGCTGGTAAAAACTAGTAGTTAAATGATCAAACAGCAACATAAATAAGACTGAAGTCTTCAGGAGCAAGGTGGTGCTGACTTCCAGAAATACTTGATTATTGAGCAACTGATGTAAACTGGCTTTTAAAACATTGTTTGCAAAATGCAAAATTTTTCACAAAGGAAATAAAGTTGCTGCCATAATGAGCCAAAATGTTAGTGGAATAAAAAAGTAATTGACCAGTTTTCTTGTTTTTAGTCTTGTTTCTAATTGTTTTTCGTTTTTAGTATTAGGGTCAGACCTAAGACTTCCAGTGTGATAGTAAAGTGCTCTACCACTGAACTACATTGACAATCCTGTGCAGTTTTGTTTGTTTGGTTTGGTTGTTTGGAGACAAGGTCTCCTCAGCCACAGGTGATGGGACCACAAGTATGTGCTAACATGCTTACATGCTTATCTGGTTCCTGGGGTTTCTGGATATTGTTTTGATATTTTGTCTTAAACAAGATGTACGTGCCAAAGACTGTAATGTACATTGATGACCATGACTCAGCGTGTAGTAGAAACATGAGAAGATATGAGCTAGTATGGTACCAACTTCCGATTCCCACCATTAGATAAATTCACCCACGGTTTTTCATTTTATTTAGCAAAATGAAAATTTAAGATGGACATGGGGATAGGGACAATGCTGCACTTATATTTTAGTTGAGAACCCAGAACGTGGTACCATAAAGTGTGATTCTTTCCTGTTTTTACTACTGCCATTAAATACTGATGTTATGACTGCAAGCATAGAAACATCAACCTCTTTTGTACATTGTTGCTTAACTTGGTGAAAGTTGTTGTTTTTGTACTCACTATGTGGATTACTGAGAATGGAAACAGTCCAGTTTCTTTGGATATGTTCTCTTATTGTGTATACCTTTAGAGGGAAACAACTTTCTTCCCAGTGTTTTTCTGGAAGTTTAGGAGAATGTAGCTTTAGCCAACATATAATATCTATAATCTAAGAACAAAATAAACAAAAGAATGCATGGTAGTCTCGTGTAAAGAAAGAATAAGCAGTTGGCTTTTTTGACACTTTCAGAAAGTTTTATGAGACGTGTATCAGCTTGGTCTAGACCTTAGCTCTTTTAATCTGAGGACTCCCTAGCTCTCTGAGGACGAGCTAGATGGAGGTGCTGCTGAGCTGCTTCTTTACATTCACACCTGGTTATGCCCAGGTAGCTCAGGCTGTGCCAATTAGATTGCATTGCCATATGTGCTCTATGTGTACCAGTAACTGAGAACATAGTCTCCCGAGGTTTCTAAAAATAATCAGTAAATACCTAGGTTGATTTAAATTTACCATGTGTGTACCTATCAGCCTGTATGTTGAGGCTTTAGTTGTATTATTCTCACTTTAATTTTAAAGATGGGCCTTAGATCAAATATGAGTATTTTATAGATATGAAGTAAATCTATAAATCTAGTGTGTAGATTGGTTTGTGTGCCTATAATTTTACAATGTATTATGTGTGGTCTTTTGTATTTTGTTAACAGTTTCTCAAATCATCCTTTTTAATTTTCATGACAAACAGAAGAACTTAATCATACTGTTACAGTGAAGTATAAAAAGTCATCCTGTCTTCATATTTATATCCTTTCCAGGTAGGTGTAACTGACAATCTAGTAGATAGGCTGGTGATAGTCTCAGGTAGCATATTGTTAACTTTCAGCCAACCTGTGCAGATCTTGTCTACTGGACCTGGGATCTGAGGGCCTGAAAGAATGGAGCAGACTGCAGTGTAAAGCTGTACACAGTCTTTCTTCAGCTTCAGTGTAGTTTTATACATGAATGCAACAAAGAAAATCATCCAAGGAAGGTTGAGTTAAGAAAAACATGATCAGAAAAATGTGTAAATAAACCCCAGTAAGCATGTACTGAATATAATAGAGCAGTCCTTTCCTATAACTTTCTCAGGACAGACCAATTTAAACACAATTGCCTGGCACATAATGTAGATTGTAGCTGAGAAAGCATGAAAACAAGGCAGAAGGCCATGTCCAGGTTCAGGGTACACTGAGACTAGCACTTGGCATGTCTAGGAGCCTGGTATGGCTGTCTTCTGAGAGGTTCTGCCAGCACCTGACTCAGATGCAGATACTTCCTGCCAACCATTAGACTGAGACCAGAGGCCCCAATGGAAGAGTTAGGGGAAGGACTGAAGGAGCTGAAGCGGTTTGCAACCCCATAGGAAGAAGAACAGTACCAACCAACCAGACCCCTCAGAGCTCTCAGGGTCTAAACCACCAACCAAAGAGTACACATGGCTCCAGCTACATATGTAGCAGAGGACTGCCTCATTTGGCATTAGTGGGAGGCCAGATGCCCCAGAGAAATGGGATGCTAGAGGGGTGAGGTGGGAGTGGGTAGCTGGGGGAGCACCCTCTTAGAGGCAAAGGGGAGGGGAATGGGGTGGAGGAATTTGTGGAAGGGAGACCGGGAAAGGAGATAACATTTGAAATGTAAACAAATAAAATGGTTAAAAAAATTGTCAGATTCGATGTGAACAGTGACAATGATAGGATGTTTTGTGAGACAGAAGCCCCAGAGTCCAGCTCAGCAATAGGGAACAGTTAGAAGTTTTTCTTCTGGACCATCTTCTCTGGAGAGAATTCTATTGAGATCTGTTATGCTTTAAGTTCTTCATGTGATAGAAAGTGGAACAGTAGGATGGTGGTGGGACATGCCTTTAATCCCAGCCTTTGGGAGGCAGAGGCAGGCAGATCTTTGAGTTCCAGGGTAGCCTGGTCTATAGGGAAAGTTCCTAGACAGCCAGAGCTACACAGAGAAACCCTGTTTTGAAAAGAACAAAACTAACTAACTAAATAAATAAATAAATAAATAAGCAAGCAAAGCCTTAAAGAAAAAAAAGTGGAACAATACATCAAGCAAGGACAGTCAGTAGTGCTCCCATTGACCCTACTTACATCTTAAAGATTGAGAAATACAAGTGCTCCCACTGGGCCTCCCAGACTCTTAGATATGAGGAACAGAAGTGCCCCCAGTGGATCTGCTCAGACTCTTAGTAATAGAAACAGGAATGCTCTCACTGAACTTTACATAGGCTCTAAAGAATAAAGAGGAAATGTGTTCCTTCCTTGAGTTTCCCACACATTTCTGGCAATTTGCAGGTACCTAATTAAAAATATCCCAAGTTCTATAGACATGTAGATCTTGAGCATCGCAGGAGAAACAGTAATGTGCTCAGATATAAGTTTGTGAAATCAGAAAAGGAAACTTGCAGCATATTTTTGACTCATTCCTGTGTCACTTTAGTTTCTAGAAAACTTCCAGGCAAAATAGTACTTGTGTTGTGCCCTGTACATTTTGTGTAGCTGGAAATTGTGTATTTACAGAAGGCTGTTAGCCACTATGTAGG